ATACACACACACACACACACACCAGTATATATACATAGAGAAGAACATGCAAACTCCACCCAGAAAGGATCCCAGTCGGGATTTGACCCGGTGCAACTGCTGAGGGGCGGCAGCTCTGCCAACTGTGCCACCATTCACCATCCATATGGTACTGGAACAAAATAAGTGCAATACCTAAACTCATATTAGTGGGTAATTGTTTGTCTTGTTTGTCTCTATGTGGAACTGTGATGGACTTGCAACCTGTCCAGTTGCACCACGCCCCTCGCACAGTGATTGCTGGACATGGACATCGGCGACCCCCGTGACCCAAAATGGAATAAGCAGGTAAAGATAATGGATGGATGGATGGATGAATGAAAAAAGGTACCAGCTCCACACAACCTGGAATGGATAAGAGGGTAAAGAAAATGAATAGTTGGATGCCAACTTCTATATGAGCCTGTTTACCAAGAAGTAACTAAAAATAGGTCACATACTTACTTGTTTACTCATGCCCAGAGTTGTTGAGCTGTTGTTTGTTTTTCAGCTTCTCCGTCTTCAAGCAAATTTGCATGAAATATTCAGCAATTGTACACATCCTGATGTTTAACATGGGTTCAAACTCACATCTTCAGGCTTACAAGACCACAGAACTGACAATTGAGCTTCCATGGATGCCATATTTTATGCACAATTAAAAAAAGATGTTAGGTTGAATGGTAAACATCCAGGTTTAGAAGAAGTTTAATGTGTTTGAATGGCACTCCACCACAATTCATAATCCCCAATATTTATTTTTGACAGCTGTCTTACATTTTCTTTTTTCTTTCTTTTAGCATCAAATGCTGTCTTCTTTGAGATTTTATGCTAGGCCAGTTCTACCATATTTGTTGACCTACACGCTACAGCCAGGCTAGTCACGTGACTCAGGTTTCCATGTGTTTTTGCAGATTTAGCCCAATTTGTTATTGACATTGAGTGTTCCCACAGTGTAAAACTGTGTTCAAAACATCCAGAAAACTACCCGAGCAATTCCAGTCACTGCGCCAATATACTTCAAGATAACCTGGTTTTTGTTTGCCTTCATACTGTCCAGTGAGCAGAACTTGACCAAACCTGTCCAAATATGCTGAAGTTTGTGTTTTTACTCAAAAGATGGTATGTTGCTTTAAATGAAGAAAATTGTCTCTTGCAGTCTTCTGTTGATAAACTATCCTAAAGTTCTTTCCTCTAAAGTTGGTTTGATACATGTGAGCTCACTGTCCTGTCCGATTTCTGCTGCCTGTTCCAAGATGGTGAGGCTTCAGTGCTCCTGCTGACAGGGCAGAACTGGGTGAATATAATTATGTGACCGCAACATTGGGGGGAATCCATCACCGGTGCACCAGCGGGGTAATGTCCTGCTGACTAACCTATCGGCTACTCTCTCCCTCCTTTTCCTCTAATTCTTCTCTCTTTGCCTCCTCTCTTCTCTTCCTCATATTTCTCTTCTCGTATCCTGAATCACTGCCTGCCTGCTTCTGCTGACAGCCAGCTGCTCATCACTGTCCAAACATGCACGTAGGCAAGAATACGTCAAAATGCAATGTTTACACATGCCGAAAGATTTCCTATAACTGTTACATAACTTTGTCTTTCCTGGGCACAAATATACTTGTACGTGTGCTGTTTATTTATGGACTTACACACACACGTGCAAGAAAACTACAGCGTTTTAGAAATAACGGCGGTGCATCACTTTATAACCACTGTGGATCTGCAAATGAGCTCTGAGTCAGTGTTAATTTATCATCACCCTGGCTACTGAAACCAGAGACATCAAGACTAATTTTTCATATTCTAATGTTCATTTAGTGGCATTTAGCTTCGTAAGCAATTTTATTGAAGAAGCACAAATTCCACCAAGTGCAAACTTATTTTAGGAACAAAACGTATGTGTTACACTTAAATCTGATGTATCAATAAAAATATAGTTATTCTTCGATGTCAGTGGAGACAGATTAGTGACGTGTAGCTTCAATTCATGTGACTGTTTTGGGGCTTATTCTGCAGGATAACTAAGAAAACATCACACCCCTGCTATTTATATGAACCAGAGTTATTGAATCTGTGTGTTTCATTTCCAGAAAACTTGTTATGAACAGTGTGAATTGTTGGATGTAACTGGGACCTTGTGTACATAATTTCGCTCCACCACATGTACCACATGAGGTGCGAATGACAATAAAGAAACTCTGACTCTGACTCTGAAGACCATTCCATTGTGACTGAATGCACCTGTTTATTATCTGAGGTGTATAATCTGAGTTGTATTTAGGGCCAATGTGTAGCCCAGAAGGCATATAGTTTTTTTGACCGAACACACGTATGCATATGCTGAATAATGTTAGAAATAAATATGATAAATGGAGATAAATAAACTTAAAGATACTAAAGTAAGTGAGTCTTGGATTCTGTCAACGACAAGTCAAAACCCTTTAATGGCTGCACCAGTGATGCACATGGAATCACTTCCAGACAGTTTTGATTGTGATTGCATCCCACTGATGACTATTTCTGGATTTCATGACACTTGCACCCTGTACCCACAATGTGGTGTCAGCTTAATTTTACTTTAAGTGTAATGCTGGAATAAGTGGGTGTATAAGTTTTATTTTGTATACTTTAAAACCATTTTAATCACTGAAACTGTGACAGTCTTGAGAAAAAGAGACATGCAACAGGCAAAGCTCTGCAAGAAGACTGGACTGAAGAGAGCATCCATCATCTGGAGGAGTGAGATCAGCTGGGAGGGCGTGGGGAAACGGCAAACATGAGGAGGGAGGGGGGAAAATATTGGATGGCAGTCGCAGGTGGATAAAACGAGGGAGAGAGCGCAGCTTCCCTCTTCATCTGAGAAGTTTTACAGCCCTTTAAGAGTGTTTGAAGAGTCTGTGTGAGGCGCTGCAGAGTTTGTTGACGTTTGAAGTGTTGAGAAGGTCCACCGCTCCTGTTGCCGTCATGGAGTTCAGCGTGATGCTGCTATCCTTCCTCCTGGTGTCTCCCAGCTGGTCCAGAGGAGCCGTGATCACAGGGGTGAGTGAGAAGTTTGTGGCTCATATTCTTAATCTTAAGCATGTTTTAAAATTAATTTAAATCAGCTATCATTATGTAGTGCCAATAAATTACCTACATAGGACATTTGCTGTATGTATATTTTAGTTAGTTGGTTTTATGTTCTAGTGTGTTAAATGCACTTTAATTCTACATTTTAATAATGAATAAACAAAAAAAGAATGCAAGTAGTTTTTAAAAAAAAAATCTGTTTAGTAATTAGGCCTAATTACTTGTGCAGTTATTACCTGATAACAGTAATGACAGGGTTAATTAGAAATTTAATCCAATATTTGAACACATAGTTATATTTATATACACATATTTATTTCCACGTGAACATCTTTACATATATGCCAAACAGAACAGCTTGTGTTATCTGGATAATTATGTAAAATTGAATTACACATGATGGACAACAGACCACATCCTCCTCCGCTTCAGTCTACTGGAAAAATCCAAAGGGAATTATCCCAGTCTGCTGATTGGTATTCATTTGTAAATTAATTAAGAAGATATAAATGATCACATTCATGATGTTTCAGACATAATTTAGAATTCTGGTGGAATATTGCAACAAATAAAACAAATTCAAATTGTCAGTGTCAAATTGTTGAGCATGGACTTTGTTGTCAGTATAAATGGTTTTCCATCTAAACCCCCACCCCCCTGATATTTCTACCATTCCTGTCCCTGTGTGTGTCCTGCAGGCCTGTGAGAGAGATGTGCAGTGTGGGTTTGATCTGTGCTGCGCCGTCAGTTTATGGCTGAGGGGTCTGAGGATGTGCATCCCAAGAGGCGTGGAAGGGGATGAATGCCACCCCTTCAGCCATAAGGTGGGTCTAAATATCATCGCAGGAACTTTCCAGCATCACAACATCCCTCAGCTTCCTCTTTTTGATTTCTTCTTTTAGAAATTCAGATTGCATCAAAGGCTGGCAGGTTGGCTGAAGCGTTAGAAAAGCTGCTGATAACTGCAGAGCGTATTGATCTTCACACCGAATGAGCCGATTAGAGTCATTTATCTCTTTAATCACTTGGACAAGTTAACAGTTTGCTCATCTAGAGCTGCATCCAGCCCCACAATTCACTAAAGAGACTCACGGCTCAACTTGACAGATCATGAAGCATTAAAAAAGTCAGATTAACCTCTTTTTATAATATATATTACCGTGTTTTTATTCTTTCAGGTGCCGTACGCAGGGAAACGATTACATCACACGTGTCCCTGTCTTCCCCACCTGGTGTGCACCAGGTTTGCCGATAACAAGTACAGATGTACAGAAGATTTCAAAAACATGGACTTTTAACAGATGAATGAACCCGGAGCAACAACAGCACATTCATACAAATGAAGACTTGAACAAGATGTGGATCGCAATCATCTTCAACAACCGTATTCTTAATTTATGTACTCTATGCAGGAAAACACGTTATAGAATGCACAAAACAAAATATGATGGCTGAAGCTGAGGGAGATTTATTTAATATCAAGAGCCACAGAAGCTTTGTAAAGACTTGACTTTATAAATATCAGGTTTATCTGCAGGATGTTTGTGAACCATGCTCACCTTGTGTGAATTCATCAAAGGAGATGTACATAATTATTGTCAATGAAATGTACAATAACAACGTCATCTTCAATAATCGATGAAATGTGATTTGTGGTACAGAATATTGGTTTTTATTAAGGTTTGATGAGAATAAAAGTCTGAGGGAAATGATAAACTGTGACAGATGTGATATTAGTGGAGACATCTGTTAGAAGAAAACAACATGTTCAACAGAAACTTTAATAAAAATAACAATAATAACAAAAATAAACTGAAATCAGCTCATGATGTGATTTTATTTTTGCAGTGCAGACATGAAAGAAAAATACTTAAAAAAAAAATATATATATATATAAGATGACAAAATATTAGTTTTCAGTCGTTTTGTTATTTAAAGAATACATTTAAAGTGCAGTGACAGTTTCAGATATGAGCGATATGGGCGGTATGTCGTTAAGGGTGACACAAGCGCCCAGCCCCATCCCCTCAAAAACAAAACAAACACATTATTTCATAAAGCCTGTCTAGCCTACATATCCGTTTCCTATTGCCAGTTTGTGGGGAGTAGGAACCCTCCACCAGTTGCAGGGTGTTCTGCTGAAGTCTGACTCACAGGTTGTGAAAGAAGGGGAGGGGACTGGGGATTCTTTCGGCTCCCTTGCTGGGACAGGGATACATCTAATCGTTAAGTAAATCACATCACTGATTAAGCACATTTCATTCATGATATTGTGAATATAAACAATAGTTCACAGCATATTTGAGCAAAATCACTAAAAAAAAAACATTATAAAAACCAATCTGCACACCAAGAAAGGTGAATTAGTTTAGGCCTATGTTGTTTTGACTCATATTGGGGGAGTGCCAGTTATACACATGGAAGATGGACGAGAACTGGTCAAATCCATCAGGTGCCCAGTTTATGAAAAAGAGTAAAGAAGAGGAAATTAGCAAAAGATAAAGATGCTGGAGGAGTTGTTCGCCCAGGGCACCAAAAAGGCTATGACCGCCCCTGTAAATGAGCGATGAGGAGGGTCAGGCCGTCACTTTCAACTAAAGATATTCAGCCTTTGTTGTCTTGTGAAAATAAACCAATAAATAAATCATAAAGCATTTTACCAATATCTGTAACAGTTTTACTGTTAGAAAATCTTTATTACACAGTTTGAACTAAAAACTAATGGATCTAAGGTTTAATGCTCTGATTTATTCATCTGAGTCAGTGTTTTAAAAATGAACTGGAGCAGATGAAGTGGGCTGATGAAGTTTTGACGTGCCTGCAGAGTTATCCAGTGGTGGCATCTCTTCATCAGCTCTCTTGTAAACACAAAAAAACAATTTAAGCATTTCCTCCCCACATATACAACACTTTTAGTGACTGAGCTCTGCGCACTTTGAAAATCTCACAGTGACTTTTTTTTACTAAGTGAATCCTTCACTCTCAGACTAATGAACTTGTGGGTTTTATAGTTTCTAAAAGTGGAATGGGAGGCAGAGCTTTCAGTCATCAGGCTCCTTCATTGCGGAACCAGCTGAAAGTTTCAAATAGGGAGACAAACACTGTCCACTTTCTAAATTAACCTTAAATCTTTTCTTTTTGACAAAGTTTAAAATGACCCATCTAATTTTTTATGCTGCTAGGCCAATAGACTGCTGCAGGACCTGATGCAGTTCTCTTTAAACATCCACTGCAGCTCTTTGCACACTTAATAACACCAGAAACCTTTGATTTACTCAGCTGTAGCGGATTGTTTCTGTCTGTCTGTGTCTTTTTCTTGTGTATAGCTCTGACAACACTAACGGCTTTAAACTAAAGCAGCAGCAGCTCCAGCCTGATAGACTGCAATGATGACATGCTTTTAAACACCAAGTACTAAGTACTCAGTACAAATTACACTGATATGAATCATTCTTTGACACTGGTGGTTTTTATGTTGCAGTATTCGCTGCAGAAAGTTAGTTTTTCTCAGTACTATAATTAAATGCACCATCCACATGCAGGGCAGCATCAAATTCAAACTACAAAAGTCCTTTACCTTTAAGACTTCATTCTTCCAGTGTGGTACTGGTAGCTCAGCAGCTCAGCTGGGTTTTTGGCCAGCAGCACAGCTGAGGTCACCAAAACATCTGGAACAAAATGTAGAGTCTATTTAGACTTCAACCTTGCGTGTAATCGTGGTCCACTGAACTGTGACTGAGGATGGGAGTCCAGGTGGGGCAGCATTCCTCTGTTCATCCACGTGTTGGAACTGGGCAGACACTGGGCCTTCTTGACGGCATCGATGCAGACTGACAGCATACTGGGATTACCTTTCCAGCCCATTACTTCCAACAATGTGGTGCCTGCCAAGATGATGGAGCAGAAACGGGCATCTTGGACATTCTAGGTCCAACTAAACTCCAAAACGAGATGGAAATCTGTCGCTTGGATGAGTTGTGTGTTTTATTTTCCTATTTTTTAGACTGCTCACATTTTATTTGAATACTTACATGTGAGTTTTGCTCTTTTTCTTTCTCTCTCTTAGCAACTGCAAACAGCTCTGCAAGTTGGTGGTGTTGAAAATGACTAAACACAACACCTGAATGATCGTTTCCTCGGACATCTAAAAAAGTTAAATCTGGTCCTCTGGACATTCAAAAAAACAAAACAAAGCAAAACAACAAAAAATGTAGAAACGTTTCGTCTCTCATCCAAGAGACTTCCTCAGTCTGAGGTGCTGTATTCAGCTCAGTCTCTTAAATAGCACCTTCTCAGAGTGGATCAACCAGTTTTGCTGCTGACAACCAAAACCAGCTGATCACATGCTCAAGAAGGACCATCAGCCTAACAATGGATCATTAGCACACTGATGGCTGTTTACTATTCACAGAGATTCCTCAGACACTTGCTTGGAGTCAATAAGCACAAAGAGATGCATCTATTACCAGTGACTTTAAGCAAAACAGGTTATGCACAAATTGGTACACTGATACATAAATTTGAAATGAAAAGCTACAATAAGTTACACAAAACCAGTTTGACAGCATTTTATCTTCTGTTAATGAGCAGATATATCAGACAGGTCCAGAGGGCCAGGTTGAGATAAAGCAATTTAAACTTCAGGCAGTAAACTGGAAAAATATTATTTCAAACAGGTTGGAAGACAGTTTCAAATTTAAAGTCATTGGGGTTAAGGTGGATTTTGTCTAAAGGCCACTTCTGGTCCTCAGGTTGTATTTTGGCCCAGTTCTTCTCTACAGGCTGTTGTTGACACTGGTACCTCCCTGACTGTTGGCCCAGCTGATGATATAACACCAACGCCTGGATTGGAGCCTCGTCCAGCCAGTGGGGAGGTGTGTGTCATGCCAGTCCACCCCCACCCTTTGTCAAAGATTTTCCAGCTTTTTCTTAACCCAGAAATAAACAAACGTTAAAAGCTCTGACGTCAAGGCTTTCTAATAAAAATAAATTAAGTAAGACTTGGCTGTTAGCACAAGCTGGAAACCTGTCAAACACCAACAAACACAAATTCTGCTTCATCGTGGTCTTTCGCTTTGCTCCTCTCACAGAGTGACCCGCCAGAACGGCCTGAACAAGCCAGAGGTCTGCTTCAATGTGAAAGGAAACCCCTTCAATGCCTCTAACATCTGTGCACACGGTTCCAATTAAACCTCTGCTGCAACACATTAAACCAGGAAAAGACAAGATTTTAAAAAGTGATCTATTTTCCACTTATGTATCAGACAAGTGAGCAGCTTTGTGGTCAAGGTTAAATCTGCAGGTGGACAATTATCAATCCCTGCACAGAAGAGCTATAAAGATGTGCAGTCTTTTAAGCTGTTTTCCCCATCAAACATTAATCTGTAAGACTTTGTAAAATTAATCCAGGGGGAGCTCAGTGTAGAGCTGCTGCACCTTCGAATCAAAAGGAGTCAGTTGAGGTGGTTTGGCGATCTGATGCTTACTGGACGCTTCCGTTTGGAGGTTTTCTTGGCATATCCATCTGGGAAGATCCAGGTTTTGCTAGAGAGATTATACATTCTCTCTGGTCTGTGAACACCTTGGGATCCAAGGAGCTGGAGAGTGTCGCCGGGGAAAGGGATGCTTGGGATTTGTCTCCTAGTCCTGCTGCCTCTGTGACCTGATAAGATGGAAATGGACATTTTTTTTGTGCATGTGTCAAATTGACTTTAGTGCGCATCAACTCGTGTTGCACATTGGTTTCTTTGAAAATCTGCTAAAATGTCAAAGAAATCACGCAAGCCTGCTCCTTTGTATGTCCTCAACAGAAGCTTGACCTTCTGCAAAGGATATCTAAAGAAACCTCTCCGGCTTTTCCCGTGTTGAATAACACAAGCCAAAGGCACGGTATCGAACGAGCGACTCTCAGAATAGCACTCGGCTGGGTTGGCAGCGATGTAATCTGGAAGAAGCTGATAACGTTGATACAACATGAGATAAGATGGTCTGACGAGTCTGCTGCTAAGTCAGGGTATTAAAAAAGTGCTGAAAAGTCTCCAATTCAGAGACAACATGAAGTTATTGCACCAGTTCAGTGTTTTAATCAGTGCTGGGTTTTATACATTACAACAGGCAGTATAAATATATAATAAATACTTACTGTAATAGTTAAAAATGTTTCAAATTGCTAAAATAGTAATTTCACTAAATTAGGACTAAATAAATGAATTAAACCTCACACATGATGTGTCATCATTTTATCTTTTAAGTTAGTAAAACAGACAAATCCACAGAGGTTAAAGGGGAGAAAGATAAACATTAAACTACAATTTTTATTTTGAAGTCACATTTGAACAGCCAGTGTGGAGTACTCCACCATCCCAGCGTACTCCATGTCAGGAACTGCTCCTCTCTGCATCTTCAGGTTTGCATAAACCCCCTCAGGTTTCTGCTGAGGCCTGAAGTTCACTGTTGTGTAGACGATGCCGCTTGTTTCCTAAAAGAGACAAAGTCTGAAAACTCCTGTGCTGAAGAGGAAGTAAAAAAAAAAAAAAAGGCACAACCTGACAGTGAGTCAGGGACTGCTTCCCTGTTCTGCACCTACCGGAGCTTCATGTTTCACTGACTCACACAGAGTTTCTCCTGATGTGTCTGCAGAAGAAGAATCAAAACAACCAAGCATCATATTAAAGGAATTTATTATCAGAAGCTCTGGCAAATAATAAAAACTACGGATATGTGGGGAAATCATTTTAAAGAAATGTACAAACCTGAGTTTTTATGTCTGACTTTGTAGCAAACAACAGCGATCACTGCGGTGACAAAAACCATCACGGCAATGGACACAACAACAACGAGCGGCAGCCCAAAGCTCCAGGGAGCTCTGGAGGGGAGACAGGACATGAACGTCTCATAAACCTTCTCTCTTACTCCTCACCACTGTAAACCAAACCAAAGATGTGAGGAGTGAAGACCTGATGCTGTCGCTGTGATCCTGTGAAAGAACCGCTGCAGAGGAGTCTGGGATTGTCGTGGAGCTCTTTGGAGCTCTGATGGTTGACGTCACTGCAGGCTGAGACCAGCTGGGATCTGAAGCTTCTGCACGTAACATCACACTTCTAAGTTTAAGCCACAATAAAATAAAATAAAAAAACATATAATCAGGCTATGATACTCACCAAAAACCTCAACATAGTAATCGCTGTAAATTTGTTTTTGGGCTCCCAGAATGGCGCACCGGTAATAGCCTGCATTTGCCATGTGCACATTAGATATTTGAAACTCAATCCATCCATCTTCCTCTCTTTTTGTCACTCTTCCCTTCAGATGGTCGCAGGTGTAGCCTGCACTGTCCAGCAGCATGTAGCACCCTCCAGGATAGAGCTTGCAGCAAAACTTGATGTAGTCGTTGTAAAACGAGGGGAAAGAGAACCTCAGCAAAATGTGCTGCGACTCCTCGATCCTCTGCTGCCCTCTGAGCAGAGAAAAGTCTGCAGAACAAAAGGATAGTGTTTCTTAGAGAGAAGAAGATGTGTTTGTTATCGCATTGTTTGAAGCCATACCTAAAGAAATGTAGACGGATATGAGGAGAAGCTTCATCTTAATCCTCCCTGGGTCTCAGTGAAGACTTTTTACTCTTGTCAGAGGGTTTGAGGCGCCTCCTCAGAGGAAAAAGAAGAGGAAGTTGTTTGTTGATCAGCTGCAGGACACTAAAAGTGTTGTGATCATATGACTGGTCCTTTGAGAAATATTTTTAGCACATTTCTTATAGCTATAAGTTTTTTGTGTGTGTATGAAAGCATTGCAAAACAAATGATTATATAAGAAGTTTTAGCAAAAAAGGATTTTTCTGAATTTTTCGTTTGCAAACGGAGCCTATAGTTTTAAAGACTAAATCTGTTTTAGTTTTATATTGTGCTGTTTTCATTGGGTGACAAAGCTGTTGGCAGGAACACATGTAACGTGTGCAAATTGTGATTTAGCCTCTAGTTATTGCAAAAAAAAAAAAAAAAAAGTGAAATCTTTGCTGAAAATGACGTTTTGTTCCCAAACTGGTGCTCACAGATGGGTTCACACTGTGCTGCTGTTTCCACCACAGACGACTGCTTTTTGACATGAACATGCAGATTTTCATCATAACTTTTAATATTTTTAATCTTTCCTTGTCAGAAGATGCACTTTATTCCAACCTTATTTTAAAAATATTGTATATATATATATATATATATATATATATATATATATATATATAT